GTTAATTGTAGATATGCAAAAATAAAAAAATGAATCTGCGCGCTTCGGTAAAACAAACTGAGCAACAATTTAGAAGGGAGCAAATGAAAGGCAGCGAAGCCCCGTGTTTACTCTGGGGCGATCAGCCTCATTACACGTACATCAGCTGGACAGACAGATTACGGTATCTTGGTAAGACAGAACCAGGCTTGCCTTCTTCAGTTAAATAAAGGGCATGGAGCAGAACCAGTGAGGCGCCCAGCTGAGCGCTGCGGGGCCGGCTGGGCGCAGCTCTGAACATCACCGCTGCCGCCCAACAAAACCAGCCGCGCCTGCCGAAATGGAAAAGTTTGAGCACAGCCCCAGCCCGTCGAGTTGCACCGAGCAGGCTCGGGCTGCAAGGGTTCAGAGGAGGCAGACAAAGCAGGCTGGCCGACGCTGGCTTTTGCTGAGGATCAAGTTCAGTTAAATACACCGTTAAAACTTCCCAAAATTTTACAGAAACCAGTCCCCCTGCTCGTACCCAAGTAGATAAACTAACACACACAACAGCCCTTGCAGAAGACTCTTACGAAAGAACCGCGCAAGCCAAAAGGCTTGCTCAGGGGAGCAAAATTTAATCTCTGCCTTTATTTGCAAAATAAGAAGAGGCGAGATTATCCCCGCGCATGCCTGCATCAGCGGCATCTTCCGAGTGAAGGAAGTATCGATTCGGCACGGCAGCCTGCCATCTCCAGCCACAGCAGCCGCGCACACGCTTTGTGCAGCCAGCGCTCCCCGGTCAGGGCACAGGCGTGCAAAAAAATGGGGGGGGCTGGTTAAATAGGGGAGCGAGGACGAAAACCTTGAGGCAGAACACACCTACAAATCTGAAAACCCCTCTTTTTCAGCGAGGAGAAACAACACTTACTTAGCAGCAAAGATTCATCCCCACTGAAGATGGTTTTCTCCCCTCAACAGATGCAATCAGTTCATATCTGACACGGGAAACACCCAGCTCAGGCATCAACACTTAAATATTAATGTTGCTATGATATGCCGTATCATATTTCTAAACCAGGCTGCAGCGCGCAAGTGAACATAAGTCGCAATAAAGCTGAATTTTTGAACATTCAGTGGAGGAATCGTGCAAAGCGAGGGAACCCGGCCCCAAAACACTGTGCCAGAAAAACTCCTGTTCATTGCAGTTCTGCATCGAGCAGCAAATTCAGGATCACGACCCAAGGCAATTTTAGTGCTGCAGAATATTTGGGACGAAGACGACTGTAGCAAAGTTTCCTGAGATATTACCACACCACCACAGATCAGATAAAATTCATAACCTTTGTAATCCTGCTCTCGAGGTATCGGTTCTGCGGGGGACATGCGGAGGGGAGCTATTCTGGCTGCACGTACACAACCCTGCGTTCAGCACGGCCACATCACCGTTGTGGAATATCCCTATTACAAGCGTAAATTAAAACCTATAAAATAATATGGAGATTATAAAAATTGCGTTAAAACTGATAACAGCTTTACTGATTTACTGACAATGAAAATATATAGCATTTTTTCTGTCAGAACATTTATCAACACATGGCAACCCTGGACTAACTTGACATGTAAAATGATCAAAATGGATTATGAAATCTCTTCCGTTCATTTCTATTGATTTTAGTTACGATGAAATTCATCAGTGTGCAAAGGAACACTTGCGACTGGCATTTCCCCCCCCAAAATCCAGGCCAGTTGGCTGGCTGTAATTTTAGTATGAGATGGCAGTGCAGAATACCTTACCCCGCGTGTCATCGGTGAACGCGCACAGCTCCTACAGCCCGAGAATGCTAAGTGCCGTATTAACTCCTCATTTTCACTTTTAAACTATGAAGTGCTGAATTCTGAGCTAAAATGGGAAAGCATGGACAAAATTACGTTCTGTTTACTAAGAAGCATCTATCTGAACATTTTTCCTTTAAAAAATAAACTTTTTCAAGGCTAATCAAAGTTATTTTTGTAACTGCCATAACAAACTGCCAGTGACGGGACCATTTTTAATCCGTTTTATTGATTCATGCTTTCAGTTCCTACTCAGTTAAAAACAAGGCACATTAAATACATCCTCTTATTGCTCTATAAATGCATGCGGCTCATTCTGTATATCAAAAGTAATAAATAACGGCAGTAAAACACCAAGACAGTTATAAAAATGACAACCCAGCCTCAAACACAGTATTTAACAGTTCAATCTAGAACAGCAGCCCAACAAAATACGTAAGTGCCGCATGTAAAACGTGCGGTGTGTCTCCATGTGTGTGCAGACAGACACACGTATATAAACACACTGCAGGTATACGCACGCCCTCCCCCCCAGGCGTGCAGTTTATTTAACACACAAAATAACCCCCCCCTCCAGAATCCAACTCCCACCTCAAAAAAAGAAAAAAAAAAAGAAAAAAAATCAAGAAAAAAGTCACATTACTGTTTTTCCACCTAGAATCAGAACAATGCAAGACTGTGACATTTTACAACTCTTTCTACAGTACATTCACATGAGGGAAAAAAAAAAACAAACCACAAAGCCAACATTCCTGAAAACAAATGTGAGGTGATAAATAAATACTTCTAGATTTTTTCCATGTATGGATTTAGCTGTTTTAAGTAACACATGCAATCTTCTCTTGTTACACAAGGCAGCCATACAGGATCTTGCTGTGCCACACAAAAGAGCAGAGAAGCATGACAGTAAAGTGCCTAAGATGCAAAGCAAATTCATATCGGAGGACACACGTAGAGCCAAGAAAATCCCAAAGTCACATTCTGTATGCAGTACTACCAAAACAAGAGAACAGAGAGTATACTTTGGGTACAAAGCAGAAAATCCTGGTTTTACAGGTAAACTTGTATTATTAATTCTTAACAGTGCCATTTAGAGAGGAGTGGAGGAGAATTTTTCTTTAAACCATACAGAAGATGTTAAATATTGTAAATATTTTTCTTTATGTGGTCTGGAAAAGGTCTCATTGCTTTTACTTTTTTTTTTTTTTTCCTTGAATTATTGTTAATAGTAGAATCCTAAACCCTTTCTCTCCTTACCTTGCTCACTGAACCAAAATAACCTGTGTATCGTACATTCATTTCCTTCCAATTCTGCAGTATAGGTAAAATCTGTTATTGTGTTCTTATTTGAAAAGGGTTTTGGAAATACGAAGCTGTGTCAGACATTACATACTTTACCTGAATATATTGGAACACATTTCAAAAAGAAAAGTTTACAGGACCACAGAAACAAATCCCTTTGTTCATAAGAAAATTCTTACATTGTCAAATGTGCTAACTCCTCATTCAGACAGACTGTGCCTCAGTAGCACAGGACTCGAAGCAAAAAAGCCATAGCTACTTAATAATATCTGCATTTTGGTACAAGGCAGCGTCAAAAAAATTAACATGCAAAAACCATCTGAAAGGCATTTTACCCGAGACTGTCTCCGTCCCTCCAGATTTTACCAATTGTTTGGACTGACAGAAATATAACCATTTACTGAATTTTAAATGAGGCTTGCCCATTTTTTTTTATTGTATTTTTAAACCCCTGATATTTTTTTTTTTTTTTAAGGACTCTGCCTCTCCAGCCAAACACAACATCTGTACTTACTATGCTACGTGCCAACACTCCTCCGCATCTCCGTTTTCTGTAGGTAATCATTTTCCCTTTTAAAATATCAAAGTAGTCTTTGCTGTTCATTCCTGCACTGTTATTTTCCATTAGTGAAAGTGGTCACATCAGTTAAAATAGATCAGATTTTACACAAGTAGGAATTCTGACACCTGGGAACAGAGGCTTGTTTTGAGTTGTAAATTGGTATTTATACTCAAAGAATATAACAGAATGACAAATTCATCAATAAACCATTCTTACGTTTTCCCCTTCCTTGTTCTGCGTTAGGCAGAAATCTCCCATCTGATCTTGAACCTAGTCAGTCTAACAACAGAAAGGCAAACAGCCAGATACAACGTTGTTGAAAACAGCTCAAGTGAGTGGTCCTAATTTTTTTTTCTTTTTGTTAATCTGCTGAAAAATAGCCCTTTCACTTTTATAGAAAAGTTAGTGGAATGCAAAACAAATTTCATTGTTTCACTTCGTGTTTGAGCATTTTTAAATAAACAATTAAGAATGTTATGCTATCAAAAACTGCCATGTTCTACATATCATCAGTGTTTGTCCAAAACTGGAAATAGTACGAAGCACTTTACAGCATAAACCACCACCTGCTAGACAACGCTATTTATTAAAGGAAGCTGATTTTTATTAATATGGGAGAAAGGCAAGCTGTCCCCTAGCTTTAACTAAATTATTAGCTTGGGTGATTAATCAAGATGTCTTGTAGTTTTCCAGCTTCATACTGCTGATATTTTTGTCTGGCCAAGTATCGGTACCGCTGAAATAACAGAGCACGCGAAAGAGCAAAACCAACCGCCTCTGGAGGGCTCGTGACAGTTCTTCACCGTCCTCACTGCCTCAGGAAGGGTCAGCAGCGTTCCTGGTGCGATACCATCTCCAATCCGCAACGGCAGCTTTCCCTCTCTCGCTCTTTGTTGAAGAGGACAGATCAGCAGCTCTTAAATACTAAATGCATATTTGCAAATAACGCAATGCATTGCAAGGCAGGATTCACTTTCTGAGCATCGTTTTCTTTAAAGCTAAAGGTGATACAAAAGTTAATGAACAAGGCAGGATGTGCACGCGTGCTTGTGTGTGCACCCAAATCCTTCTAGACTGTATTCCTGAACTCTTGGTAATGAACTCCTACATCTAAAGAATACCCAATCCAAAAGGCCACATACTGGAGTATTAAGAGCTGTACAGAAAACCATTAGTAATGAAAACAAATGCACCAATGTATTTTTGTAAGAGCTACACCGATAGACAGATACCGGTCATCTTGAACCAGGAAGGACAGTCAGAAGCACTGGAATGTTTTTCAGCAGAGACGCAGCCACGCGTCTCCGTTAGCTGCGGCTGCGAGCAGGCGTTGTGTTTGCACTCACAGTCCGCCACCGCTCCGGTCCACCGGAATCACCACCCTCTGACGCAGGTTCTCCTCGGCAGTCTTCATGAGCACAGCCAGCCGGCTTCCAGAGACGTGCCCCTTCTGAATAGCGCTCATGAGCTTAAGACACAAGAGGGAGAGCATCCCCTTAACTCATTTGCAAGACAAAGAGCAAAAGGTGGAGGGTACAGCCCCTGGTGGAACCCGCAGCAAGCAGCCAGAGGGACAGCAGCGTAACTGCAACCCACACCAGGCCCCGAGCGGGCGCCACGCAAGCCCTCCGCCCATCTGGCTTAGGGGGCACAGGACGCCAGCGGAGCCCGCAGCTCGGTGCTGTTCACTCCTCCGCACGAGAGGCGTGCGGACACGGCTGGCTGTCCTGCCCCGGGCCACCGACCGCGGACACCGACACAGGTCCAGCCTGAACACCGGCAGAGGTTGTCCAAGAGCCATTAGCAAGCGTTAATGAATATACAGAGCTGATTTTTCCCTATATAAAGCAAAACTGCTGTGTGGTTTCAAAGACTCACCTCAAAGCTCAGTTACGTCTTCCAGAAATACCAGCGAAAGTTTTGGCCAGGCATGGGGGGCAAGAAGAGTAACGTACCAAATACAATCCACTTGGAAGTAGCAGCGCAGGCAACCGTCAACACCAGGGTTTTTACCGTGACATTTAAGAATGCAGGACAACTCATCTATTTCACAGGCTTTTTTTTTTTTTTCTTTAATATCTGAAAGATGTAACTAGTAGAAGAACACCACTCCTGATCTACCACTGACCCTGGGCCATACCCCTTTTCATTCACGTGCCCTTCTTTGTAGAGATAGCGTACTTGACTTCCACAATTCTTTCAAATCCAAATTCCTTTATAGACTTTTAAAACTAATTTGCCTTTAAGTCCTTGAAACTGGACTCAGCTCTATCTTAACGAACACACACTAGTGCTAAGATTTTAGTTAATTCTTTTTTATCCCATGGATAAAGGGAGCATTAGACTTGAAATTACATGCAGTCAGCTTGTCCAAGACTACTATGGAAAGCAATCGGCACTTACAAAATGCAATTTCTTATTCCCATTGAGTGCTAAGAATCCTTCAGATTTCTTCCCATCTATAGGAAAATCTATTAATTATATCTGCAGCTGGACCTATGCAAATGTGGTATCAGGCCTGTCAAAGCAGGAACGAGTGCCCAGGAGGGGAAGGGTCAGAAGGGAACCCCGTGCTTTCCAGGCCCAGCTGAGGCTGGAAACCCTCCCTGCATTTTGAAGGCCTTTTGGTTACCCTGTGCAGCCCGGAGGCAAGGCAGACGGCAGAGGTGGGAAGGAAAGGACCAGCAGCAGAAGAGCAGCAGCTACAGCCAGCAAGGGAAGTCCACCACCGCCATGAAAACAAGAGTTTCTGGTACACGGGTCTGTCAGGACCCCAAAGGCAATCTGCTGTTGGGAAAAAAGCTTCCTCCGGATTTAACATGGGGTTTTTTTTGCCTTTACATACCAAAACTAGTTCCCAAGGCCCCCCTCCTTTCTTGAGCATGACAGCAGCACTAGGCCTCTGTGTCCAAGTCTTCAGAAAAATAACCGCTGCCGTAAGACAGCTCCGTGTGCACCTCCACGCTGTCAGAGCTCTGCCTCCCGGCCGCGGCGCAACGGCCCGTTTGCATCAAACGCCGATCGGCGCGGTCCGCTTTCTCTTTGTGCAACACCGGCCAGCATCGGTGTCTGCTGGGACCAGCTCTCACCCGACCGTTATTTGAGTTACACTGGCAACCTGCCGTTGGCCAAACGAAAGCACTTGGCATTGCTCTGCTCCCCACCCGGAGAGCTACGCAGCCACCCTGGTACGACGTGTTCCTATATTCTAATATAAACGTCCACAAATATTTGCACATGGCTTTCCACAAGCATTCTGCGGTAAAATGCAATTACTTGAAAGTTTTCAGAAAGCAAACACAAAAAGTATTGGGACCTGACTTAACAGATCCATTAAAAAAATTAAACAAACATTTAATGTATTTTGTTCCTTCCATGGCAACCTCCTGTTCATTTTATTACCACACTTCCTACTTGGCACCCGGCGGCGCGGCGGCTCCCCTCTCCGCAGGAAGGAGGTGCACCGGCACAGGCGGTCATTACTGCCGTGCCCATCGCTGGTGTCAAATATTTAGATTGCACTGTGAAACGCAGAGGAGAAGCCAGCAGCCACAGTTACGCAGTGTTACAAGAGTAACTGAACCTATACCAAAACAGTGACTCGCCTTTTACATTTTACAGATATTACGACATAGGGCAGGCAACCCCTCCCTAATGAGACTACTCAGCACAGTAAAGCAAAAACCCCAGAAAGCCACCAAAAAAATCCACAGAAGTCATAATTGCTAGTTGTTTCAACTTCTTAACCACAATGTATCCAAACTAACCAAATTATAGTTTGACACAGCCCTTACAGTAAACGGTGGGTTCCCCCACCAATTAAAGTTTTCACATGCAAAGGGCTGTAAGAGGGAGACCCTTTGCAATAGCCAGAAAAACAGCTGTGATTTTCTCTTATATTTGAATACATAAGCATGAACTCCCAAAGCCATTGTTTCTTCTGTCCCCCCTCTGTGGTTTGTTTGGGGTTTTTTTTGCCCCCTTCCCCCAGGTGCCTTTCAGTTACCCAGCTAAATCGCTGCATTTTAGGCAAATAAATAGTCCTTTTTTCTAATGCTGGACACAACCTGTGAACATTTTCTGCATTTAGATTCAGCAATGCTGCTCTTACCTACAGCTCATCTCGAGAGAGACAATTACCATTTCCTTTGCCTTGATCTTGTTTGTTTAACTTGACACAGTGAAGAAAGGGCTGACATTGACCAAAATCCCCAGCATTAATTTATCTCATGTTCGGCATTCATCATTGCCACCATGCAGGAAAGACATGGCAGTCACTTGAAATACCACACCAAGAAAGACTCTACAAAAACAAAGCTGGCTGGCAAACTGCATATGCAAGAGGAGCTGGGCAAACAAACGTTTCGGTAGCACCCTTAATTTTATTTTAAAGCCCTGCAAAAAGCAGATGTATGGGTTGTCGATGTGATGTCGTTCATACAAACTGAGATAATGTTAGCCAATCCAGGAGTTAAAAATGGGATTCAGTGGACTGGATGTGCTTTAACCACAAGCTCATTCTTTAAAATAGTCAAAATAGTTTAGAAACTACTAATTTCTTAACAGACCCAGATAAATGTCACTGTGCATAACCATGCCACATACCTTCCAATGGACAATTGTATCATTTTGAATATATTTAAACGGCATTTCTGTATTAAGAAAGCCAAATTGAGGTCTGTACTGTGGTATACTTTGTAAATCGGACCTCTTCTTTAGGTCTCATTGTTTCTGCACATGAAAAAAAAAAAAAATCCCTGAATTTCAAAGTTGCTTGAGGATGGCTCTGTGTGTCACTTAGCTTGTGATCCGGCAAACAGCATCAACACTACAGCGTTCACCCAAGTAAGACTCACCTAGTCTCCAACCCAGGCCTTCAGCAAAGAGAGAAAAAAAATTAAATACCTATGCCTTTGTTCATTAAAGTTACAGCTTCTCTTGTAACAAAGAAACACCTACCTGCAAAAACTCATTGAGCTCAACCTGTCCATTTTTGTTCAGATCCACTTCATTTAGAATATCATGGAGGGTATTTTCAGCAATTTGCACACTGATGCTCTAAGCAAAAAAAAAAAAAAAAGCACAGAAGTATGTCACCTGGATTGTTCAGCACTATTTATGCCGCACTCTGAAATTTAGATAAGAGGCTTAAAAAGGAAACTAAAGAACACGAGGAAACATTACCTCCAAGACACGCTGCACATCCAGTATAGTAATAAACCCCTTCTTGTCCTTGTCAAACATGTGGAATCGCTTCTTGTACCTGCAAGATAAGGATTATCAGTGGGAAAAACTGCACTCAGAAGAATGACAGGTATTAATTCCTAGCAGCATAGGGAACTCTCTTACTTTACTTACCTTTCAATATCGGAAGGCAGTAGACTGATTTCAGAGCTGTCTGTTAATTGATCTGATTTTACTTTGTAGCCCATTTCATAATAGAGAAATTTTTTAGCAGCTTCAAGTTCTTCCTACAAGAAATAAAGAAAAACTGTATATCTGAGGAATAGCAAGTTCTTGCACAATTACTTTTAATGTAGTATTTATTAGCTTCTTCCACTTAGATAAATTCTAGTTAAGGTCCGAAAATTAAGCAGATGGTAGCTGAAAAATATTTAAAAAAATAAGTTAAGCTTAGGCACTTTTTAGTCTTGAAGAGAGACATCAAGCCTAGTAAAGACTTCCAATTACTGTGTAAATGCTTTTAGGACCATACCACACCCTCAGTCACACGTGGTATAACTACTTACTTCATGAAGAATGGCACTTGCAGGTCAGGCCTACGAAATGCCGTTTAACTCACAGCTAGTATCTTAGTGCAACGTTTCACCTAGCTGTCTAAAATCAGCAAAAAGATCAGGAGGCTCAACACCAGGCAGGTTCTCTATGTTTTAAACTAGTTTTCTTGATGAAAATTCTTTTCTTTCTCTTTCTTTTCTTGATTAATAAATTAATAAAATTAATTTATTACCTGAAAGTTCAGTGCAAGGTCTTCAGTAAGTGATAACACCTGACTGTACTGTAGAACAGAGGTCTTTCTACAGCGATGGGTACACCAAACACTGTTCTAAGAGCAATACGAGCACCTGCCACACGGGCACCGATATTAAATAGCCCACCCCGCAGTTAACAAACGAGTAAGCACGCTAAGTAACGGCCGCAGCAGCGGTAAAAGATTCCCAGGCACGTACATATAAGCCACTTCACCTAGCAAAGACTTGTTCGTGAAGGCCTATTAGGAGACCAACTAAACTATACCAGACTACTCCTACATACTTCGATATAAGCACACAAATTAGCCTTCAAGTCCCAAACCAACAAAGACCTATTTCATGGTCTTACTATAAGATCTAAATTAAAGAATTGCCTTGTCCGTCAAGCTGAAATCTAGCACAGGCAAGACTGCTGTCCGTGCAACCCTAGTGTCATGCTGGCTTCAAATTCTTTGCTTGGCAAGCTTCCCATTTTCTCATCTATTGTTAGAGAAGAATTGCTATAGCTTTGTTCAACACGGTAAATTATTATACGAGCAAATCTCATGGGGTAAGGGTGAGACACCTCTAACTTCAGTCAAACACCTCTGACTGTGAGGCTGCCCAGCACACATAGAATCCCAGAATCGTCAAGGTTGGAAAAGACCCTTAAGATCATCGAGTCCAACCGTCAACCTATCACTGCCAAGTCCATCTATACCATGTCTTCAAGCACCACATCTATCCGTTCTTTAAATACCTCCAGGGATGGAGACTCAACCACTTAAAGCAAGCACCACAGCTCACAGCTGTGACACGATGGTATCCCTGTCTTTGTGCATTCCTCTGGGGAGGCCTTAGGATCACGGCAGGTCCTCTGGGTAGCAGGATTCAAATGGGCTCCTTCCAGAACGTTAACCAAACTTCTAACTGGCTAAAAGGTTTCATGAAGGTTTCGAGGGACACTTCCCATCCCCTCTGGGGTGGCAGAGCTAGGTGAGCATTCACAGGTTCTGTTTGCTTCAGAGTGAAAGCAGTCCCAAACCAGGCGTCCCATTTGGGCACGGCACTCCTCGCGCCGCCTCTCCTCCACCACACAAGCGCAGCCTCCAGTACTCTGGGCATTTACCTTTTTATGCCAACAGAAAGAAGGGATAATCGGTAACTTAGATGACGTGATCACTGAGAAGGGGCAGGATTCGTGTCAGTAAGTGGGATGCCTACATCCAAGCTAGTTATCCAAGGTACTCCTGACAGTTTGTGGAGATCTAAAGAGGGCTGTAGGGTGCGATTCAGTGCATGCACAGCAGATGCCTTGATTAGGGTAACTCATCTGACCGCAGTTTGCTTTCCACAGAGCAGGCGCAGAGAGCCTAGCTTAGACAGAGACAGCCTGCTGCCAGCACCGCAAGTGAAGCGAGGAGCCCCGCTGCAGGACTGAGCACAGGCCCGCGGGGGCACAGGAAGCTAACAATGACCTTAAACATTGACTTAGGCCACAGAATGGGGAAACTCAGTGGCATCACTTTTCAAAAGACACAGCAGACAAAAAGGAGCGACACAGATTACAAGATCCTCCTTTTCTGAGGCAGATCTGTTGAAAAGTGTCAGTAAACCAAGTATTTGAACAGGAATAGGATAGTAATGCCAAGTCTGCTTTCCCTTTTAAAGTTGGGGAGCAACAGGACACAGATCTTCACTTTCCCCTCCACCCCCCGGCCAGTACCGACTCATTTCACAGCTATTTCGATAAAGTCTTTATAATGAAACACACCAAGTGAATCACTCTCTCAGGAAGAAAGCATCACTTGAAGTTTTCTATTCAACGCATTTAGATCGTTAACATGGAAACTACTTAAGAAAAACAAAACAGTTTCAGATGAAAAAAGCCCTTTGTACCTTTTTTTTCTGCTCACTCCAGTTAAGTTCTTTCCCCATTATATCTACAATTCTTGGCAAGGCTTCCTCTGCAGCCTGCACATTCAGAAAAGCCAAGCGAGTACGTCGGGAAATCATATCCACTGCCGTGCGGGCATACTCTTTAACACCATAGACAACCTGGAACAATAAGGCAAGGGTAAAAAAATGCAGATGAGAACGGAGACAGGCATCATCAGAAATTATGTTTAGCATCACAAACCGCACTGCTGGCTTGGCTATACAAAACGAACTCTCTGTAACTAGTTCCCACCCAACCAAGAGAAGGGTTTGAAAAGCTCCCTTTTCCTTGGAACATTTTATAAAATGCTGTCTGGGATCAAATGTGTGTATATGAAATAAAAAAACAGACATTATATAATTATAAATATTTATTTAATTATGTATAAATATATTAATATGTGTACATATAAACATAAAAATAAAGCATGCTCTGGAAAAGGGGAAAAACAAGAACAGAAAAAAATAAATCTGGCCCTTACCAAAGGCAAGGGCTTATGGACGTGTTTTACAGAGCAAGACAGACCTGCTCGAGAACCTGTTTATTCCAAGAAGAGAATCAAAGAACATCATGTAGTTTTTCCACATACCTCAGCTTCAATATAAGGAAATTCAGATACAAGCCGTTTTCCAACAATAGGCCATCTCTTCCCTGTAACTTGGGCTATCTTGGCCACCTCGAAAGCCTTGTCGCCGTATGTCGAAGCTAGATGCTGAGCCACCTATGGAGTTGAAAACAAATTCAACATGCTTTTGAAAGCACATCAAATCTACATACTTTTTTTCTTGTCAATTCTGTTATCACCAATAACAAATAGTCTGAAGAGGGCACTGGGTTTTGATTGTGTGGGAAGAAGCCACTTGCCTTGTGACTGGGTTAGACCAGCACTGACACCACTCTGTACGTATCAATGTGCCTGTGACTAACGATGCTCCAACTCTTCCGCTACACTGTGATCACAGCTGAAGCATAGATTTTGTTGGGCTCAAACAAACACAGACCCTAGCATGTCATAACATTTTAAAGTGGGAAACAGTCAAGATTAGGCGGAAGGGTAAAAGGAAGGAAAGAAGAACACTTTAGAATTTGTTTTTGTTAAAACTACCTTCGCCCTGGACAGATAATAAGCTCTTACCAGGCTAAACAGACCTTTGTACAAGTTATGCTGGCATTAGATTTAGCGGGAAAACAAAACCCTCCAACACAGAAACATCAGAGCATCAACAGAAACCATGACTCACCTCACTTTCAAGTCCATAGTCTTGAACCAACCTAATGTAGAGAGTGGGGCTCCAGTCCTCAGCCCCTTGTAGCTGCAGTCCAATGGTCTTACTGGAACCTGCCTTCAGATCATGCGCCTGAATAGCTGCGTCGATGGTGTCCTGCGCCATGGCACGGTAGGTCGTCCACTTCCCACCTGTAACCACGCATTTACTTCTTTATTCCGGGAAAGCAAGCACAATACCAAGTTGGCATGTACTATATATATTTTATGCATCACACTATTCTTACTAGACTTGCTCCAACAAGGCAGTCGTGCTACCACCGACAGATCATTATCTAGTTATAGGAACATGAAGGATTAGCCTGTAACAAGAAAAGTTTTGAATAACATACGCCGGGGAAGCCCAACAAAGCTATACTTTAAGAGACCTTCCAGTACCTGCTATCGTGACAAGGCCACTATCGCTAATGGTGACGACATGATTCCGGGATATCGACTGCGTGTCTTTGGAGTTGGGGTCTGTGACCAGAGGACGAATGCCACTCCACGCTGCCAACACGTCTCCTCTTCTCACTGTCCGGAACCAAAGATCAGCCACAGTCAGCCAGGAACGGATGAGTATTTATCCCATATCCCTCCCGTGGTCTTTCTGGCACTGCCTCCGAGCAGATCCTTGCTGTGAAACAAGGACTGCACCACACCATGCTTGTTAGTTGAGCAACTCAAAAAGCTGGAGAAGATTCTCCAAAGTAATGGAATAAGCTGGGCTACAGAATTAAAAACAGCACTGCCCTGATTGATATCAATAATATTCTCTAGCCCAAAACAAAGTCAGAGGCAGCGAGGTCCATTTTTCACACTGGTTAAAAATCCAACAGAATGGAGATATCCTGGGAACTGATCAACCAAAAGGGATTCAACTGCCAAATTCACCGATCAGCTCAAAAAAACCCCAACCCCAAAAAGCAAACCCTACCAAAACCAGACACCGCCCCCCCCAGCACCAAGTCTTCTCCTTGTAAGGACTGTCCTGTCGCACGAGCAAACATTACATTTTGGAAACCAACATAAAGTTTGCTCCACGTGAGTGCTACGTTTGCTTTTAGGAGTTCAAAGCTTTTTCTCTAGCTTGTAGGTTATTCTTCCAAGTTTTCCTCTTGACAAGTGATCTTCATCCACAGCCTTCATCGCAAGTGCAGTTACACATATGATGCACAAGGAGAAAACTGGCAAGGTTGTGGCCGGCTGTAGCGCGTCCCCGAAGCCTGTATCCCACGCCAGCAGTTGTCACCGCACAGCAACCCGAAAGGGCCCAGCTGACTTGTCAAAAGCCACCCAAGAGAAGTCCACATCCGCCTCGTCCAGCCCTGCCTTCTCCTCCTCCTCCTCCCTGCTTCAGGAACGCTGTCTCACTCCACCAGAAGCCCGACTACGCGGCCGTTTACTCCCCGCCATGCTGATCCTCTGCTTCGGGCCCCGCTACACGCACATCCCTGAAGCCAACCCTGACTTCTCAGTAAACTCGGAGGAAGAAAACCTGAAGGCATCAAGTAGTCACAAAAGCCCTAAACAGTTGTAGGAAAATACCCCTCCGAAAGTCACTTTTTTTAATATACAAAACATGGGACCAATAGAGAGTTTAATTAAATTAGTTTTGTTGCTTATTAAATTTGCAATAGCAAAATTGACCTATTTGCTTTACGCTGAAGTCTTTGGAACATTTTTTTTTTTTTATACAACTTTCAAATAAATGATAATTGAAAATCAGTAACGGGGTGTAAAAATATCCCCAAAGAACAAAATAGATTTCAGAAATCAATGGTGCTCTGCCAGCATGTTTAACCTGCCAAAATGAAGTGTTAATCACAGAAATAAGATACCATATTACATTTATAAACTAATGAAACTAGAAAAAGCAGCATGCGTGACACTATAATTAAACAGTTGGAACACATCCAAGCCTGTGTAAGTTGATAACCCTGGCACTGTCTCTGGCAGCAAAAAGGCAGGTCTGCAGTGAGTTGATATGGCCGGCGCAGTTGTTAATTCAATAACAAGCGATCTATAAACACTGCTAATTGCATATGTGAAAAACAGCGTGCACCTAGGTAGGTTTCATTCAAAAGAACGAAACACTTCGTAATGTACTTCTGTAAAGGACCTTGCAAAATCTCTGTCTTATTCACAGTCTTAACTCTACCAGCTACCTGTCCGGCCTACCACGCTTAGTTATATCGACCGCTGCTCAAGAAACTTGAAGGTACATTTCCTGAAGACTTTTTCTGAACTTTATACAATACAGAGCCATCAATTATCCACTTCAGGAAACAAGTAATCTAGCATTCCCAATCTCCGGACTGAAAGTTTTCCTGAATCTAAGGATGTTGCAGTGTTCCTGACCAAGTGCTTTTCAGATTTATTTTAATGCTGCTACTACAACAGAAACACAGAGAAGTACAAATGCTTTCGCAGAATGATTTTTAAAAAACCTCACTCTGAAGGAAAGAAGCCTCTCTCCTTTAAACCAGCACGGAGTCAAAGCAGGCCAGCATCTTACAAAAAAATGTGTTCTCAGCTCAGCTACTGAAGGGAACAACTGTCAACCAAGTGATTTTTATAAATTCCCCTTCTTGCCCATTATACTTTCCTCTCCCACCGAAAACTGACACTGTTAGATATTTACCATATCAAGAAAAGTAAATTCTAAGAATAAAGTACCTAGAAAAACTGAAATAAAAACAAAGACACAGGAAAAGTCAGAACAACTCTTCCCTCAAGAAAAGCAGGTGAATTATTTGACGAGCGACCGGACTGTCCCACTTGTGCAAAGCCTGCGGCTGCCACCCGAGGAGGTGTGACTCGAATGACTGGGCTGCGGAGCTGGGCAGTTCCTGCCAGTTAGGTGAAAGGTATGGGAAATCCGAACATGCAGATATCAAGTGATTTCCATTGAAACAGTCCAAGTAGTGCAGGTGCATCTGGAAAAGCATCATTTTTTAGCTCTGATATAGAGATCAAGATGACACTTGTGTCCCACCCATGTGTCTATGTTTTAGAAACACCCAGATGCACAAGAACTGTAGTTAGTCACAGAAAAACTTCAGACAGACAGCATTTGCTCAAACTGAAATGCCACAGACTCATCAGTACCTTCCCAGGGAAGAACAGAGCTGACAAAGGTTTACCTTCAACATCAACGCTAAGGTAGTTGCGCACTTCATTCAAAATGAAGTTTATATCTTCTTCTGTTGGGATGGGGTGGGAGGTAACATCAGTCGGGCTGTCTGTGGTCCCTGCGATAGTCATCTTCTCCCACGGCAGGAAGAAAATCACCCTGCCGTCGCTGGTGGCTGGGTCGAGCAGACCCATATTATCAGGGCTGAAATAAAGAAGGGACACGGTTCAAAACAGGTCGGGCATCACCAGGGACTCTGTCCTTGTACACCTTGTACCCCAGATGACGTATTAGAACATTACCTTTGTTCTTGGTCAAATTATTAAAAAAAAAAAAAAAGAAAATAAATCCGAGATTTCCCATGTGGCCATGACCTGACTGTAAAAGGTAGTCCCAGAAGTTTTGAGAAATAAAGCCCTTGAATGTGATGCTCAGATATTACTGGAATTTGATTTCTTAAGGAAGTTAGCGGAGCACAACCTTAAATCGAGCAATCAGGTCGTTGGCATCTCACATCTCCCATTCACCCTTGAAAATCTTACTGATTAGAGCTTCAAACACAGGCACTTGGAAGTTTTAAACCAGCAATTACTTGAAACTCACTATGGAATGAGCAACTGCTTTTAAACAAAAAAAGGACAATAATTTATAGTGTGCCACAAAGGAAAGGGAAGGCTGAAACGCTGAAAGAGAACGCACATTAAATGGAAGAAATAGGAACGGAACCTTAGTTCTGTTTTGATGCGTTTAAGTCTATAACAAGAAAAATTTAAGATGAAATATTACTAACCCAAGTTATCACTTGTCCTCTCTTTAGGGAGCAGCTAAAAGTAAAGACACACAAAATATCCCACTGACTTCTACAGCCTGCACTCGCTCTAACGGTGAGGCGGGGATGGGGCGCGGGTTAGGAACAGAAGGAAGAAGCAGGGAAAACAAGAGAACAGCACGCTGAAATCAGAAGCGTTACGAGTACGTTTAAACAGAAGAATTGCAGCGACGCTGCAGGCTGAGGCTGCTGACCGCCTGCCACTTCAACAGGAATGAATGCCCAGGCTCCCAAAGGATTCGGAACCAGCAGGAT